CAAAAGATTTTCACTTTTTTCCACAGCTCCACATAAAATCATCTTTCTCCTCGCTCTTTTGTAAAAAGGGGGGAAGCAAAATAAAGTGTCTTTACTCACCTCGTGCCAGCTACCATTTAGAGGGTTCAAGAGCGTGGAAAAACTACACCAGGAACCAAACGGGTTATTTTAATTTCCCCCCGGACTCTCAGTTTTCTCCATTCCCATTCAACTGGCTCCATGGATTTACTCCCATCAAAATTCTCTGCTTCGTAAGACTTTCCCCCCCCCCAAAGCCTTTTTAATGGCACATTAAAACATCCTTTGCAGGAAGCTCGCAGGTACAGCGGTCTTGTTATTGCAGCTTAAACACCAGCGATCCTAAACATGAAAACTCTAAGGTGGGAAAAAACATGGAAAAAGCGATTCCTCCAGCACAGCTGGCACAGAGGCACCTCTGTCCGTCCCTTCCACAGGCTTGGCAGGGCCACAATCCTCGGGACACTAAGAGCAGACAGGCCAGTAAGGAGGAGGAATTTTATTGCCAGTCCTAATTAGAAAGCAAAAAAGAATCCGAGGGCTGTTGCAGATGTACTTGCACTTACACTCGCTCTTCCTAGCGACTGAAAGGGCACTCCGTTCAAGCAAAATAAGCTCTTCCTGGCAACGTTGGGCCCAAACTAACAGGCCCTCAGCGCCTACAGCAAATGCAAGGGGGGAAAAAAAAGACACGAGCATCTCATATCTACATAAAACAGGCACCTGGGGGCCTAATGGTGGGGGGAAGTCACCACAAAAAGCAGGAGGCAGCGTGGCCTAGGGCTCCTCCTGCCCGAGGGGACCCCCTTCACAAGAAAGGGAACAGAAGCACACATAAATATAAAGGCATATATAAATATATGTTTATGCAGCCAGGAGTCAAAGGCCCTTGGAAACGAGAGCACACCAAGGTAAGGCACAACACACCGCCTCCAGGGGGCACCATGGCCGCCGGGCGCCAGCTGCCGCCGTCGCCCCTTTTATACTTGGCGCCTAATCGCCTCAGCCGGGACTAAATCCGGGCGCATCACTCCAAAAGCGTATCATTACGCCGTACTGCCTCGTATCCCTCCGCTGGAGACCTACTCCCCCTTTCGAGCTCCCCCTTCATTACCCGGTGGCGTCGCCGTCCCTCCTGCAGGGCTGTGGGCGGGGAGGGAGACAGGAAAAGAGGAATCCCTCCAAACCCGCCTTGGGTTCTTCGTGGCAGAGCGGAGCGAGACCCTGTCCCGCTACCGCTCGCCCTTCACGCCGCGGAGGGACGGCCTCAGTTGTGGTATCCTTCCGCCGCCTCGCTTCCGGGTCGGCCATTTTGTGGAGCCGCGGCGGGAGGGGCGGGAAGAGCTGCGGG